GAGATGTCAATCATCAAAATCGACCGAGGGGGGCCAGAGATATGGAAAATGTACCCAAATGCAAAAGAAAATCTCTCTAGAAAGGTCAAATGTCACTTGTTTTGCATCAATCTTGATACAGGGTACTTATTATATGTTATAGTGTGGATTCCTAAAGCTTTTAGTCTAATATCCCATCATTCAAGGGTGGTGTTCACTATAAGTAATTGTTTATTTTTGAACGGACACTATTATTTACATTTTTTGTACTATGTTCAATCTGAATTTACTTTAAAATGAAAACATATTGATTCTGACTTTTCTACATTCAACTCACAGATTTATCATTGCTTTGAGAAAGATTATTAATTGACCCCTTTTAGAAGTGAAGATACAGTCATTTGTTCTGGGAATGTCATTTTCGAGCCTGAGGCCTGAAAAACAGGCTCGGGGCTGAACTGTTAAAGTGTAAAATCACAATGTAGATGTTCTAGCTTCTGAAAAAGGTGTTAGCTCTTGTAAACATACGAAAATCAACTTTAAGGGACTAAGGAATAACTAATCTATCAAAGCAAACTTATATTTCCTTATTTGTGTTAACATTGAGCATGTGAGTTGTAAAACAATAAAATATCAATTGCCAGTTGGAAATTCAAACCTTGAGAATTTGATGGTCCGCTTTATATCAAGATTTGAAATATGTGTGTCCGTAAAGTATACACGATTTGTAATTACAGGTGATAGGCTAAGGGGGCATAACATCTCTAGCCAGTTCACCAATCACAACAACGCCAGTCAGCTATAAATCACTTTTTGAACATTAAAGCATTTAAACATGTCAAAGTAGAGGCAGAGAATACAAATAGGTACCTGAAAATAAACATAGTGCCATTTTAAGTTGCAAACAACAGGCTGCAAAGGATTTGAATGAATGGCACACTCACAGAAGTTTCTTGGTTACATCTGTGTGAAAAAGGTTGAAGATGCCAGTGTAGGTTTAAAACTATCCTTCAATATGACAGGTAGATTGACAGGTAAAATAGTGGCCTGTTTCTCAGCTTTCATTGCCATCATGGACCTGCCTATCCTCTTTCTCAATAACTCTCACAATCTGAGTTTCTGAAGTTGTCTATTCCCCCCCCCCTCTTTCTTTCCTTTTTCTTTCCCACAGCCTCCTGGCTTTTTTTTCGCGTTTTCACATTGGATTTCTTTTCATCTTTCTTTCCGTCTGTGTATGTTTCTCTCAAGCTTCTGTTAAATTTTAATGTATCTTTTTCTAGCCGACCCCTTCTTCATCTCAGTGCTCAAGGGTCCATGCAACCATCTCTATAAAATGAGAAGATACTGCTGAAACACACTCAATAAAAATGTACAATAATTTAAATCACAATTTATCAAGTATTAATCCCTCATTGAACCGCGACATTCAAACATTGTTGAACTTTTTAATCAAATATCTTTTGATTAAAAATAACCGCTGTCTCTTTAAGGAATAGTCATGCTGGATATTCAAATCTAGTTTTCCTGCAGATGAAGCAAACATGCATCCATAAGCATTCCTATGGACAAGATTTATACATAAACACTCCCCCCCCCCCCCCTGAAAATGGTTGTGTCCAACAAGGGGATTACACGTCCTTTACCTTGCCCCTCGCAGGAAAGCAATTTATTTTTTCCGTGCAGCCTGAAGCGCAAAGTTATCAGCGAATGTAATCCTAGCAGGCCAGTTGCCAAAAACCTCCTCTAAAGCCTACTCTGCATTAACCAGGGGAGGTGGAGATGAATGCACAGTCACACAACGCAGGGGATAATCTTCACTTTCTCGCCTTCTGGGACTTTAAAGAGGTGGGAGGGGCGTATGACATTACTGTGCTGACTTGGTTCAATGGACCCCGAACCTTGAGTGATAAAACGAGATGTGATGAGAGATCCAGCAATTAGACTAAGCACGCAAAAAAGCAGCTTTTGCGAAGAGGACAAGAGTCAACAAAAATGAATAAATAAAAAGTGTATTTTTCTGAAAACCCCCATTATTGGAATGGAATCGCCTATTTCTCAAAAAGCATATGGTATCTCTTTCATTGGAGAGGCTGCACAACAACACAGATACAAGGCTATGACTACAAATTGTACAACACTATTTTTTTTTACTTTTCCTTTTCTTTACAGCATGAACAAATAATAACATTTCATCCTCCAAAGGTTTCTTCTCCTTGGTTAAACTGAACTTTATAATTAGCTCAGGAAAAAAAATATATCTTCAACAATGACTCTATGCTGAAGAATACATTTTATACCATAACAGTTTTTTTGTGGGGGGGAAACAGTGAAATGTTGTTTTCCACATGTCTTCCTTGCCTACTGACTGCCACATTCTCAGAGAATCTGAAATGCAATGGTCACGTGACAGAGGGGGGAAGAAATGTGGCTGGTTCAATCAAGGAAGAATCTATCCGTTACAGCTTTCTTGAGATTTCACAAAGAAAAGAGCTTTACAAATCGTTACTAACAAAAACAGCTATCATTGCATATAGGTTTTAGGTTTGCATATGTGACCTGCTCCATCGAAATCAGTTGCATTGACCCGAAGACACATTTTGAGTTGGCCTTTAAAGTTTCCTCTTCTCTGGAATCCATCGATCTGACTGATTATTAGCGGAGCAAATGATCAAAATACTACGGAGGGAAGATATTTTCGTTTGGAATACTGGTCTGGGGGAAGCTCGCGAGTGTGTGTGTGTATACGTGTGTATGTGTATACGTGTGTGTGTGTATTTTTGCCTTTGTGTGTATTGTGTTTGTTTCCCGGGGAAAACACTCACGAGAAACACCGGCTGTTGTTATGCCTGCTGTGACGTCAAATTACTCCGTTCTCCGCTTGTAATTATGCCGTTACAAGCTTCAAAGTTGTATTCATCATCTGAATTTGCAGAAACAAGTTTAATATTCTGAAAGCCAAGACTTTGTTTAATTGAAATCAGATGAAAACAAACTGTAACGGACCCTGCCGTGTTATCTATGATTACTATACGCCTTACATTCATAATTTCAGCCGGAGGGAGGGGGACAGGCCCGGCTCTACGGGGGTGCATAAGGGTGCACCCTCAGTTGAGTCATTTGAAAAATGAAAAGTCAAAAAAAAAAAAAAAATTCTGCTGCTGCTGCATTTATTTGGTCAATTTAAATGGTAAGTAACGTTATTATGTCAGGTGCTTGTGACCTGTGCCGCTGCGCGTTCATCATCTGCAAGGTGCTTACACAGCAGTCAATGATGGACATCAGAAAATGGTTAAAACAACCAGCCCTTATCGCCAGCTGCTGTGTAAGCACCTTGCAGATGATGAACGCGCAGCGGCACAGGTCACNGTGGATATTCCCAACTTCGGCTCCATTCAGCTCCTGCATTGTCATGAGGGGGTTGAGCTTTTTTATAAGATAGCCTTTCCTTTGCTACGGTGTAAGCCGTTCTAAACGAGACTGTTGTTTTCTTGAGTAAATCGGACTGTACATCAATGAAACAGTTTGGGAGGGTTTATTTGTCTTTCATCTGTACTATTTCCACTGACCTTGTGTGGGCCTGGCTGTCCCTGTGTTTGTATATCTTCTTTCGTAGCTGTTTTGCATCAGGGCTAGTAACATCACCATTGATCCATTCTTCCGAGAGGTGTAAACCCGGTCCCTTTTCTGAGAGTAGCAACGTTTTTTCTTTCCTACACACTAAGCATCCTAACTTTCCAGCCTTAATGTCAAGCCAAGGGTTGCGGTCTTTCCATTCGCCCACCTGCTTCGTTGTCCAACCACCCGGCGGAAAGTCACTAGCAGCAGTAGCAGCTACCTCCGCAACTGCTGCGTCTTCTGAGCACTCTGCCTCAACTTCACCTCCTTCTGGGGAGTGACTGGGCGGGACAGGAGCCCCCGACTCGCTAACGGTTCTGGTAGCGAGTGCTGTGCTAGCTGCTGCGTCATCAGCATCATCTCTGGGTGTCTCTTGGTCATCTCGTGGTGTCACTTTTTTGGATGTGAACCCAAAGTGCGCCAGTGAAACACTTTGGTTTAGCTTTCTCTTAGACATTTGAGTCCTCTAATGTAACGTCTTTCTCTCCTCTTTGCCACGCATGGCTAATTTGCATAATTTGTGTCCGCGTCACGCAGCGTACCCGTGTCACGCGGCTGGCTCTGCTTTTGACAGCCAAAATAGAAGTTATTTGTGAATAAATGTTTTGAATTATGAATACTGGACATAGTAGGCTTAAAAACATTTTAGTGACCATTGCAAGTGACAAATACATATTATAATTTCAGACCCCCCCTTAATGTTGCTGTTGAGGCTTTCAGGGGGGCTCAGGTGTTAAACGGGTGGGTCGAGCTCCCCCAGACCCCCCCGTATTTCGCACACTGCCACTGCTGATAACAAGCAATTGAAGCAGCCAATAAAGAGAACAATTCAGTCTTCACTTGTCTATCTCAAGACTTGACTGTCTGAAAATGGGAACACACTTTATTTGGCTTAATGACGTTGAAGAGAAAGTGTTGGAGCGCTAGCCAATGGATGCGTGAGTGTTACCTAGTGATGTCACCATGTTACGGAAGTAAACAAAGGAGTCCAATGGAGGCTTTTCGGTTTTCTATATAGCACACTTTAGGAAATGAAATGTACTTGCAAAACGTTGTTTGGAAGCATGTTGGGCCACATGTTTCTTGAGCATAAGGTATAAAAGGAAAAAATAAAAAGTTTGATAGATGATTGTGTTGTAGATATTCTTACTACTTCCATCAACGTACACTCATGTGAAGATCCATTCTAAAAAGTATTTCAGTCTCCCCTACTGGTAATAAGGTAGAGATTGATAACCACAGGAAAATTGTTGCACAGGAGAAATAACAGACTGTGAAGGTTGCACATTTCTTCCCTCAGATTGGATCCCTGGATAAAAGGTTTGTGATTGGGCATCCTGCTAGAAAAACAAGCTCTACACCTTCTACACCTTTTTCTTTTCAGGACCTGGCTCGATGGAGCGATAGCGGTTGCAGGGATTGTGAGTGTCGGGATGCTCAGGTGACTTGTTATCTGCACTCCTGCCCCACCTGCCCGCCAGGGACCCTGGTCATCACCCAGGAGGGCCGATGCTGCCCCGAGTGTCGCCAAGGTACGTGGCTGCAAAGGGTGCTGGGTGTGCGGGTCAGTAATATCTGTGTCTCTGGAAACACCAGCTGGGACAGACCTGGTTCCTTTTTATCTTTTCACCCTTTCACAGCACAACCATCTTTTATTTATTCAACAGGGACAGTTGACATACATAAACATTTAGCCAAGAGTCTATTTTTCACCCTAAAGACACATTTCATTTAAAAAACAAACAAATACAATCAGTAAAAACATGCGACATAGAGTATAGGACATGTTGATAACATATATAAAAAAACAGTAACAAACAAAACATACATATTACATAGCAAGAAGATGAACAGGTTAAGGCACAGGCAGTGCAGACAGACAGAGAGCTGCACAGTGCAATAGATTGTATCAGTGTTGACAGAGCTGATTCCTCACTAACCATGTTTTTAATAGACTATCAGCAACCTCATTTTTAACTGCACCTGGGTTCAACTTCCTACTAAACCCTGACAGAACAAACCTACCAAGATATGGACCCAGCAGTTTTTGACTCTGAGACTTGACCTGAAAGTTCTCGGTGGTTCATACTTCAGCAGAAGATAAATAACACAACAACACACAGTGCTAAGTCTGGGATACTTGGTACATCTCAGCAGTTATTTTTGGGATAAAGTTGTCATCAAAGTTTAATTTTACGCACATTCCTATTTACCACAATGCCCTAAAAATGTCTGAAAATGTTTACAGGCATAAAAATGTAGCTAACTAGCATAAAAAAGTGTGAGTGTCATTCTGTGCTCGCTGCCAAATAACATTGTGTTTTGTAGCTGTGTTGCATTTTAATGTTCTTTCCATCGCTGTGGGTGGAAGATGGCAGCTCTGCTTTTTTCTTTGATTGATTTCTCCCTGTGTGAAAGTTTGTTGTTGGTACAAAACTGGGATTCAAGAATCGAGTCTTCTCTCTTTGATTCGGCTGGATTTGACACGAACAAACTTCACTGTCATGATTGAAAAAACTGCAGGCCATACTGTCATATCAGCATCTATTGAATGTGAAACAAACCCAGGTTGTAAGACGTAATCTAATGAAGATAAACCAGGACATTGAATTTAAGTTCTGCAAACACTGCTGTGTAAAGGAGGACACATTGGAGCCCCTTGCAGTTTCCCTACAGAGTATGTTAAGGTGAAGTCGAGGTGAGGAAAACATAATTAGAATTCAGGTCTTTAAGAGGTGTTTTAAAGTTTCTTAGACTGTAACAATGTTGAATTACTTCAAATAGTGACTGCTAGATATATCTTCTGAAGAAGAGGAACATTTCCATTACTTTTGGGTTACCAGTAAATATTAGAGAAAATAAATAAAAACGAGACGTTTTATTACTTAATTGTATTAGGTAACACAACAGAACAATGTAGCCTTAGAAAAGAAGAAACCAAGATATTGAGTTTGGAAAATGTGTCCTCTGCTCATTAATTGTATTCATAAGAATACCGGCTTTTCATTATAACACATGAGCACATACTACAGTTTAAAAATGCAACAATAAAAAAATGCTCTGTTTTAGTTTAATACATACAGTTAAGCTCACACATACTGTTCTATGAACATATAGGTTGACCTACTGAATTAAAAAAAAAGAACGTGAACCAAAGAAAGTGAAAACCATAAAGCAAATTCAGGAAGTGAATAGTACACATTTTTGTGGTGGCCAAACGGCGGTACTTTTGTGTTGGTCTGTGACGTCATGAGGCCCAACAAAACGTTTTCTCATTGACTTACAATGGGAAAGTCACTTCAGTAAATCAGCTGATAATTAGAAAAATACAATTTAATCATAAGGATCTAAAAGTTGTGATCAGCGTCATTTTCTCTCTCTATTCATTTGACTGATCCGGGATCAGATGTGAAGTTTTTCGAGGCCGAGCTAAAGCAAAACGCAGATACCCACGTTCTACGGGTACTTTGGTAACGAGAGGCCGGCTATTTTGGCTTCATGTGCCACCGATCAACTTTCAAAGGAATGAACGGGTTTTCGCTTCCGACACTGTATCCAGTTCTCTTTGTGAGAAAACCCAAAGGACTTGACAGTTTGTGCGATATACATGTTCATGATTTTTTTCTTTTTGAAATGGGCACCATTACTCTAAAAACAGTTACTTTTACAATGTGCCCAAGAAAGGCACTTTAAAAAAAAAAAAAACTGTATTTGTAAATCAAAACCTGAAGAGGGAGAGACCCATAGTGCCAGTGTGAGAGTTTATAGGTAGGCAGGACAGGCCGCAGGAGGACAAATCCCCCCTGTCCCTGGGGGGGGGTGGGGGGGCGAGCTGCTCTGCGTTCAGCCTGCCATGGCCTGAGGACAGGAGAGAGTAGAACAGACACACAGAGTCGATGTGAGCTATCCCCCCAGTCCTTCACTGCTTTTAACTTTGGCTTTAATTTAAACCTTTTATTTATGCCCTCCTTCATCTTCACATTCAGTTTTACACATAAATGTCAAATCCCAACTCTTAAAAGCAGACAGTAGTGGTGTGCGGTGATTTCCTGGGTCCGTTTGGGATGGTATTTTTTTGTATTATTCAAACACAGAAGGCATCATTTGAAGTTTTTTGTGCAGTTTAGAAAAAAAAGCAGTACAATAATAGTACAAAGTAAAAACTTTCCAAACACACCGCCTCCCCTGGGCCTTGAAGTTACATGAAATGAAAAATGACTTTCACTTGGTTGGCCATTTTTCCACAGCATAATAAACAGTATATACAACTATTTAACAATTAGTGGCGGCAAAAAACAAGCTATTAGTTTGGTGCAGTTCACTGTAATGCTGACCTGAGTCCCAGTAGGTCTTTTTTTAAATGATCTCTCCCTTTCCCTTCAACCTGTTTCAACAAGAAAGACCACACATGAGGAAATGTAATTGCCTTCGAAGATATCAAATGATAGCTTTAGGCTATTTTCATTCTGTAAACCACACAATGACATCGAAGCACATCAGTTTCACCTCCTTTAAAAAAGAGTGATCCATCTGTCTCATTGTCAGCAATTAAAATCAAACAAATGTATGTTAATGTGTCATAAGATAAATACACTCACAGGCAATTAAGCAGTGGGATTACATTGATAAGATTTATGAAGACTTATAATTAAGTTTGCCTGCATGAACGAATAATTACAGTTTAATGAGGGAGACTTTCTTCACCGTACCACACAAGTGGATAAACAATAATAGTTCTATAAGGCTCACATTTAGCTTGAGCATTTCTCCACAGTCTAAACATGTCTAAAAAGTGAATACAATTTATTGTCGCAAATATAAAGTCTAATTATCCAGGTAAGCAACAGGGAAAACGTATCAAATGTAATATTGTTAATTATCCTGATATCTCTAATGGCCGTGTTTGTGTTCAGTAGAACATGTGTTTGCTCAAAGTAGTCAGCAAAGAAACACATTTGTTAATAATGAAATGATGTCTTCGCTTTTACATTCATTTAATTTCCATCTAATTTAGAAAACTTGGTCTCTTATGATTTCAAGTTCGTAGGCAGGTGTTTTGTAATGGTGGTTGCAGTTTTATGGTGCTCTAAAGCAGGATTTATTTAGTGTGATGTTCATGTGGAGCTGTAGAAAGCACAGGTGTGGATGGAGAGCTTTGATAACAGCGGTTCATCTCATTCATCTCCTGTAGTGCTCAAAATCATTGTAATGTGTCTAATATGTAACCAAACAACGATCTTCTAGTAGTTTAGGCATCTCAACATTTCAGAGAGGACATTTTATAGTTTTTCGTCCACTACACTGATTTAACATCTACAGTTATTTATATTCAATCTGCTCTGTTTACTATTTGCATAAGAATTGAAGGCAGTTGTTCTCTGTTCACCTTCTCACTTTTCTTATTCTCTTCCTTTTCTCCTGGCTATTTTCAATCTTACCAGCCCTCTCCGTGTCTTTATACTCCACACACATACTGTTTATACATGTAAGTGATACGCGAAAGTGTAGGAGGGAAAAACGTCAGAGCTATCCATCTATACATCCTGTACACGTGTTTGTGTTAATCAGCAAGTGCAATGGGGGCTTAAAGATGTGATTCTATTTTAAAAAGTATTGTGAGCTAGTTTGTGAAAACATGGTCTGATTCAGTTATGTGTTTTGCAAGTGATTATCATGTACTGTATGAATCATTTAAGCGTTATACTACACTTCTGCCTATCATCACCTCACAGCATGTGTGTGTTAACGGGTGAGAAGTGATGCTTTAATGCCCCATAACGCCCCATAATCCATATACTGTTGGCAAAGTGATTCAAACACGAATTAACCACTTCACTTTTATTTACTTATGCGTGTTTTTCCCCTCGTTTACCCCGCATTAGTCCGTCTGCCTGGCTGTGAATTGGATTCCCTGACTTTGTTTAGCTTGCAGCTAAAAATAGAAAGAAAATGTCTTTCTTTGCCTCTTTCTTCTCCAACTGGAACCGTGAATCTTGCTTTAAGCTTATTAATCACGGCTGTCGCTAGTCCCAGAGGTCCGCAGCCCACCCCCTCTCATTGGGCAGTTTACATCCGAGGGCCGTAACCAGCACTGTGCTGCGTTCAGGTCTCAAGGGACAGGCTGGAGATGTGACGGTTCATCTCTGCCAGGATTTGACCCAGATGAGTCTTTGAAATAGGTGATATTATTTTGTACTAAAATGCAGTTATACACAGGGAATAGAAATGTAAACCCAGAGAAGGAAATCTGTCTGGTTAAAATATTATTATTGATGCAAATGTAGGTCTATTTTTAGGATAATCATTAAAGAGTGTAAGAGAATCAGAGCACTGTATTTTACCCAGGCTTTCTCCATTATAAAGTAAAAAGTAAGAATGTGCTATAAAAAATACATACATTTATATAATCATAAGAAGTACAGTCGCAATTATTCCGAGCTGCGCTATATGACATTATGTCGAAGGACAGATACTTTGAGATCAAAATCTCCCTTTGTGACTGGGAAATTGTAAATATCGTGTTTTGACGACTTATTATTTTCCATTTTCTTTAATTATAGGATGCAATACTTTCCGAAAAGGTTCCTCAGTCCAATCTATTTTAGTATCAGTAGAAAGGAATCTTTGTAAAAGCAATGATTTCTGTCCATGACAACTAACCTTTCTGGCACATTACATCAATAATACACATCTGATAATGTGCATGTTTATTAATTTCTCCTACACAAACATTGGTAAAGGTCGCAATTTAGTTATTTTTATACAGATGTGTTTTTTCCCCAATGACATTGATTCGGTTAGCTTAGAAAGATTTAGATTAATATTGCAAAATATTATTTTTTAGATCGAGTTTTATTGGTTTATTTGAACAATGTGATCACATGATTCCCTCTGATATGCAGATCTGTAAGCTAGTAGCTAAGCTAGTCATTTCAAATATACTGACGAAACTTACAATTACTGTATTTGACAGACTAACTCTGCCAGCAGGGACAGTTGGCAAAATATAAATCTGCAAACCTCAACATCCCTCCGGTCCCAGCTGTGTGCATCACTTTTTAGTGTCCCCGTTTTCGTTGTGTTTTGAGCTTCTTGCAGCAGTTTGTAATTGCAGGGTCTCGTTCATGCAGCGCTTTAAGTAAACCCTGCACATGTTTAGTGAAGTTGGTGAATGTTTTCTAAATGCTGCGCATGTGTTGTCAAGTTGCTGAAGATATTTCTTAATTTGCATGTGTTTTTGGAACATTTCTGTTTTTATATTCACATAGTTTCTGAATCTGCACGCATTCCTCCAAATGGAAGTGTTTTCAGGTCGTAATGCACGTTTGCACCTGTCGGCCATCGCACTTTACACTGTGATATTAGTACTTTTCGTAAAGTACAAGATCTGAGAAATTCTTCCACCACCCCAACAACAATACATAATATTACTTTGAGTGCGCCATGAACCAGTGTCGTCACACTCTGTCCCAGGGGTAGTCCTCTTTTTTCTAAGAAGCTTCATACATACCCTTAATTCTCAGAAAGCCTTTCCTACTCTGAGCTTGGTTTTCAGTTGAACTTTCAGGGTGATTCCCAGGAGGGATTCTGGGATGTTTGATAAATACGGGCCAAGAAATCTTAAAATGTTTGCATCTGTAACCAGATCCAACACACATATTTTAGTCCAGCACACAATACAGTCTGTCAATTATGTCTCTTTTTTGTGTAAAAACCTAATATACCGAAGAGACCTCCAGAGGGAGTTTCTGTACAACACGGTTTACCAATCGCAACAGAGCCAGCCAGCTAACCAATCAGAACAGACTGGGCTCTGGTTTCAGACAGAGGGTGAAAAGAGCTGCTGCAGCACCTATGAGAAAAATAAAGAGCTTTCTGAACATTAAAACGTGTAAACATACATATACAATACAAATATGAACCTGTCAATGAACAAAAAAACGTTTAATGATCGAAAATGTTGCAGCCGACTCCATGAGTGAATGATGGCAAGGCAAGGTAAGGCAAGGCAATTTATTTGTATAGCACAATTCATACAGTAATGCAATTCAAAGTGCTTTACAGGATCAATCAGAGAAAACAATTTATATGATGCTGTGCCTTTTGATGAGAGTTAGACTGTTCATTTACCTTGAATTCACCAGCCAACTTCTGGTAAATGTTGCTTGTAGTGGAGCCAGTCTCAGTTGGAGGTCAAGCTTCTGCTAACAGTAAAGTTGATATTTGATGTTTTTTATCCAATGCACCATCTCTTCCATATAATTATAATAATAATAATAATAATAATAATAATAATAATATTGGGAGAGATGAAACCCTCTTTATGTTAACACATCTGCAGTTTCTCACGGGAGCATTTTGTCATCGGGTGCAGTTAATTGCGCCTGGATCCACACCCTTGGATCCACACCTCTGGATCCACACCCCTGGATCCACACCTCTAGATCCACACCCCTGGATCCACACCTCTGGATCCACACCTCTGGATCCACACCTCTGGATCAGTTGTTGTCGTATAACTTTGCAGTTAATCACAGCTGTAGTTTTTAATTTTGCACGTCAGGGATCCTGGCTCGTTATGCTTGTGCAGAAATGAAAGAACATTGTGCTTGCATCAAGGCAGCATTCTCTAAACAACAGCTCGTACAAAAAGGGTTTGATTGCCTAACTCGTGCTGCAAATGTTGCTTTATCCTCAAGCAGTAGAACAAATCCTATTCTAGTTCACTCTAAGGTTGTCAAATCGAAAAGAAATGACCTGTTCAGGTGGAGGTTTGTATTCAAATGTAAACATTTGTTCCCAGTGTTTAACATTTGGGAGTGATTTGCAGAAAGAGTTCAGGATATATTTGAGTCTTCCAGGATGTTTTTCAAGAGATTGGTAGATTACTGCCAGAAGGAGCATTGGTCACAGCTGAATAGAGAGATAAACACACATATTCATATTAACCAATAAGCCCATCAGTATAAGTATCTCAATCTCCCACATGTCTCACTCAACATCCTTCCCACTCTTATTTTTGCACACAGCTCCATTGTGTCTCTCTCTATAGCAGAGAAGACGAGGGAGATGGTGAGATGAGTGGCAGATGAAAATATAATAGATGGGAGAGAGAAAATGAAGCTGTAAGGGAGAAAGGAGACAGAAGAAGAGAGTGACGAAAGGTAGCGTAGTGGGAATAAAGAGACAGAGATACTTAGAACAGTATGTCCTGGCTTACTGACAGTCTTATTGGCAATTACGTCTCACCACATTCTTTTCTTTTCTATAACGTCCCTTTTGTATCTCTATTCTTTTCTCCTTTGCTTTTCCATTATATTTGTCTTCCTCTTTCTCCTATTGTTAATCAGATCCCTCAGTCACACAAGTACTTTATATACTTAATGCATTCACATAATGAATAGAGCAATCACTGTATAATCATGTGTGCGAGCAACCAGGCATATTGTTTGACAAGAGGCTGCACTGGTAACCTAGGAGATGGAACAAAGAATGACTTAAATAATGCACATTTTCAGGTTCATACGTGTTTTGGGTTCTACATGCTCTGATTTATTTCGTCTCTGCTTTCTCTGCGTTCAGCACCATCATTGCAGCTGCAATGACCTTACCTAAGTCCAAGCAGCTAGGCATAGGTTGTATGCATTTCTCCATGGATAGAGCCTTTTTCTACTGTTACAGGATTCAAAGCACTTAGACCTGCTTAGACCAAGTCAAAAGACACATGAATATCAAACTTGTTGCACAATGGGAACTTTGAGGAAAATTTCTGAAAACACAAAGAAACTAATTTGCTTCAAATACCAAATTAAGTACGAGCATAGACAGCGCTATTAAGGGAATGCAAGCGGATCAAATTATCACTGAAAAAGGTCTCCTCGCATCTCACTGGTCATTGCTTTACAGTACCGCTCCCCCAGCCCTTGTCACTTTCCAGGGCCACATTGTTTTGTAAAATTGTGAGCATAAAGTTGGATCTGATGAGAAGACATTTAAAATGTAAAAAACTCTTTAGCAGGACCATGCCCTCTGACCCCCCTAAAGTGTTTGAGGTCTATTAACATAGTCTATTAAATTCAATGAGGATTTTAGCATTTCCGGGCTCAATTGACTCAGTTGAGTTTTTTTTTTTTTTTGGATGGCTATATTAAAGTATGTGTTTGATAAAAGCTTAAGAAATGTTAACATTTAGTTCTAAAACATAAAAATAGGTCAGTGTACACCCCACTTTTGAATGTCTGAAGCGTGTCCGCCTTTAGCTAAGAGGTAGCGACTTTCAGCCATGCGACCATGATGCTTTTTACGTCTGGCATTTCCATTTAAGCTTTAGCTAATATGTGAATACATCTGCAAAACCAGAATGGGTCATAAACGTGTGTTTGCCACGGATATACTTTTCTGCAATGGAAACATGCCATTGGATTTTGTCAAGGGTTAGTTATGTAACTTCAGGGTCGGCCTACAAATATGTCAACACTACTCTATTTGGCTCCCCATACTGTAGGCTTTAATGCCGCCTATCACTATGAGTTTGATGTATGAAGTTTAAACTATGTGTCATTATTTATATAGTTGCTAATGTGTGTGCAATGTGCATTTGGTAAAATGTAAATTATAATATCAGTACTGTGCATCACCGTGCCTTTCTGACTCAGTAAACTATGTTTGAGGTTCGGAAAAAATTGTGTACACTGAGATCTTCAGTGTGAAATGACTTCTGAGTGCACTTAGTCGGCACATTGAAGATACTACCTTGTGCTTGTAAGTCGTTGGTAATTGTTGGACCATTTCGGATCCAGTGTGGGCAGGAAAAGCACTTAAACACCTCATTAAAACATTTACCATTGGAGTTGTTGGCAGACAGTAGAAGTACTGGAAAATTCCCCGTAGGGCACATTTAAGTGAAACTTTTCTACCATTGCTAACACAGTCTGACTGTAGAGCAACATCTACTGGATGCAATTTGTTAAATAAATTCAATTTTGTGTGTGCGTGTGTTGTAAATCTGTCTGCCTTTGCTAACTGAGTTGCAGTGCAGAGCCAAATCAGATAAAATGTGCAGACAATTGAACGTCAAAATGTGTGTGTGTGACTCTGATACTTTGAGTCTTCGAGAGCCACCAACCATATCTATCCACATGTATAGAAATGGAATAAAATTACCATGACATTGAATGTGTGATTGCATTTGCCTCATATATACTCTACCAGTACTTATTACCCTGCTGTAGATGCAAACATAATGTATTGCATTTTAAAGATGTTTTCATGAAATGTTGTGTGTGTGTGTTTCCCAGTCCAGTGCCACGCACACTGCCTGTCGTGCTCGGGGACTGCGGATCATTGTGAAAGCTGCAGGGATCCGAAGGCCTTCCTTCATGTTGGCCGCTGTCTGTCCGTCTGTCCAGCCGGCTACTTCTCTGAGGGACGAGTGTGTGAAGGTAGGGCGCTCTTTTGAAAAACTAAAATACCTCAAAACATTGACTTACCTTGGAATGATCTCCTTTCAAACACAGTTAGAAAAGTGCTTTTTGCATATAAACAGAACACATTTAAATGCAACAAATGAAATGAACTTAAAACATTATAAAACACAGAGAGTGAAACAAAGTAATTAAACATAAATAAAATGAATCTTACCAAAGTAAAGGTACTTTGCATCAAAATGTACTTGTGAAAGCAAATGTCCAATTCAGAATCATTTATGTGAAATTACTGGATTATGATTATAGATGCATTTATGTGTTCATCGCGGTTATCAGAGCTTGTGATTGTCTAGCTAATTTGAATGACTTTATATACTATTGCTGGATATCTTAACCTATCATTTTATTTCAAAGATTTTTTCCAGGTTGATTTCTATTTTGTATAAGCTAATAATCTGAATCTGTAAAGTAATGTACAATAATCGCATAATGGGATGTTGATAAATAAATAATTTGTAAGGCAGGTCACAGTTTGTCCCCTCTCCCTTCCCTTACAAAAATATTGTCGCTACATGCAGCGTGTTGATTGGTCAGATCCTCACTACTCGTCACAGGGACAGTGCTAGCTTCCTGTTCTGCGCCCAAGCATGTTTCAGCAACCCAACAACACTTACCTTTACTGATTATGTCACTGCCAAAGTTAAAGGGGAAATATAATGCTAATTTGTAGGTTTCCAGGTCTGCCAAATCGCTGCTTTGTCATTGCAGCTGGGGAATAACTGTAATGGCCATGTAGCTCCATTATCTATCTATCTATATATCTATCTATCTATCTATCTATCTATCTATCTATCTATCTATCTTCCATCCGTTCTTTCATCGATCCAGCTGTCCGTCCATCCATCCATTCATCCATCCATCCATCGCCACACTTTGTCTAAGTGTGTGTGCTTGTTTTGAGCACCCAGTGCCAGCCCAAGCACCTTGACCGAGCTCTGACCCGCGACAGCCGTAATCTCTTTAGTATTTTCACTGCATTGAATTCCTACTATCCCATTTACCCGTTCTCCTAGAGGCAGACATGTACTGCTCACAGCTATCATGAAGCCGTAAACACCTCACACTCCATCGCCGCAAAGCTATCAGGCCCAGATAAAGGTATTAACTTTAAAGTCTAGCGGCTAATGCTAGCAGCTGCATCTTTAACGGCGTGTGCCTTTGAGAAAGATAGGGAGATACTTGTGTCCTGAATGACTCGGTTGTGTTTAACTGTTGAATTTATTCAACCGGGAAGGTCCTTCACTGAGATTATAAATATCTTACAACAAGCCAAGACAGCAGCAGCACACAAATACAGAAGTCACCAAAAAGATGATGCCAATTTAGAGGGGAAAAAATATGAAAATTACTACATGTGGGTTTTTCAAGTGCCAAACAAAGCCAAACATGTGTCTCCTCTTCCTATGTCACATCATGCAGATGTATTCAAATATATCTGCAATTTTGAAAAAATAAATAAATGACTTAATAATAATGATTAGCCTTTAGAAGTAATCATTTTGTGATGTTAGCATAACATAGCATAACAAATGCAACATGTATTATGGAATGTTTTCTATTTGAAAGAATTCAATAATAAAAACACAAGGTAACATGTATTCATGTGTAACTCATACATTTTATACTTGAAAGCTTTTAGTATTCTTCACTTCTTAAAGAATATCAAGTTATACAAAACATATAAATAGGATGTCACGTGGGTAGGTTAATACAGGTCATGGTATCTTGTCTTGTTCTGAGGAATCAGAAACGACTATGAATTTTCAGATTTTTATAAGAAAATCTATTTTCAAAGATGCATTTTTCTATTTTAATAATTTTGCTTATTAGCTGTGCACTCATCCAATCATGCACCAGAAGTCTAAAAAATGCTCCACTTTCCTCCATTAGTCCCATACAGCCTAAGACCCCATGTTCCGTGCATGTGGGTGATGAAAACAAAGCTGCGCGTCTGAACTTGCATTGTTGATAAGACCCCTCTCTTGTCGCCCCTTCTCCTCATTTCCCATCAACATCTCCTTTCATATTTTTCGACATTTCTTAAGCCTTGTGTCTATCAATCTCACAATCTCTTTTTTTTTGCCCTTCTCCCCATCGTCCTCATCTTACCCCTGATCGGGATCTTTATTTGCCCTGTTGTCACTCCTGTTATCTCTGCGCGAGTGGGAGTCAGGAAGGTTTGAGGGGATTTCGTTTTCATTCCGCAATTTTGAGTTTTCTCATTAAATAACAGTTGAAGTCCCCTCATATGCCTTTTCTCTCCAATTCCTTCTGCACCGGTTCCATTATTATGCCTTATAAACGTCTATAGAGTGTGTGGATTATTTATTTGCTATGTGTTAGAGAGTGATGCTTTAACCAAATTAGTCTTAGACGTTTTTCACAAGTTTTTCAAGTTTTAGATAACTCTGCTTTGGGGCGATAAAAATGAATAAATCAATAAAAAGTTGATTTACTCTAGGGTTTTGGTGCTAACAGAATGTGGGGCTGCTTTTGTAGGTGCAGACCTATGGTGCAGACCCAACATATACAATCCAATTTTGAAAAAGCAAAAAGTGGAACCATGCAAAACTGTGAACAACTTCTTTATAGGTTTATATTATGTTGAATGCAGCATTGACCAAATCATTATGATTCATTCATATTTATTCATGGTTTCACTGGTCCCCAAAATCATTTTTTGTGAATTGATAGGGAAAAAATCAAAGCCTTAAAGGTAAAAAAAAAAAAAAAACAGACATAAAGAGAAATGGAATTTGAATTTATATATTTTGTGCAAACATAGAAATTGAAGTTATTTTTAATTTGTTTTACTTAACTTTAGTTTGCCGTCTAAAACCAGAGCCCAGTCTGCTCTGATTGGTTAGATTGTCGGCTCTGCTAGGTCAACTGCTTAGAGATGTCCCGCCCCTTAGCCTATCGCGTACAATATGTCGGAGCGCTAGCCAATAGAAGGGCAATTGTTACATAGTGATGTCATTATCTTACGGAAGTAAACAAAGGAATCAAATGGATGTTGTGTGAGTAACTCCTTCTGGAAGTAACACAGGGATGTTAGCCTTTGCAGACCATTTACATGCACACAAAACTATAAAACACACTACAGGAAAGGGAAACCCCATTACATGGCCCCCAATGGTTTCCTCTGGGACGTCCCAGCTAGAGCAACATGAGTTTAAACTCCCCGACATGAATGTACAGTGTTTCCCTCTGATGATGATCCTCCTCCTCCTCCTCCTCCTCCTCCTCCTCCACAGCCTGCCAGTCATCCTGCACCACCTGTTACAGCAGGTGGGAATGCCAGTCCTGCGGCCCCCATCAGCCCCTGCTCAGCGCTGATAGCGGCGAGTGCCTGGCTTCCTGTCCTCTGGGTTCCTACCAGCACGACAACACACACTGTCGCCGTGAGTATAACAGATTGTTAGGTACCTTTGTGTGACCTATGATACCATTTGAAGGTCATAATGTAGATTTGGCTCAGATTCAAACACCAACACGGTGCAAAAACTGAGAAGGCCACACTAGGAAAGACGCAATTCCATAATAACTTTTATTTAAACATTATTTATACAGGCAGTCTCATTGAGATCAAGAGAGACCTAAGAAATGTATCTGAAACAACACATTATATAACATTACTTTAACTTCAGCCAAAGATTTTATTCAGTAAATTACAGTGCAAAAGAACCTGAAGATACAAACTCAGAACAGCAAGAAAGCAGCAGATACATTCGCTTTAAACAACCCAACCCATTGTAAGTGCTGGGGAATTGCTAAGTACTTCATTTTTTGTGTTAGGTATAACAGCCAAGGTGTAGTTGAAACAGGTGGGTGTTTTGTCTGTGAGGGAAGATCAGCAGTCTTGATATCAGAATGTCATATTTCATGAATCTTGTTCCACCTTTTTGGAGCCAAGATAGCAAACACGAGGGTTTTTGTTCAGGGCTACCTATGTCCGGCACACTTGTTGAAATCTCCCAGTGGAACACAAGACTTTATTTTAAGCCTTAAAGGTCCCCTATTATATTGTTTTTCATCAATATATTATAGGTCTCAGATATATACAAAACATGTCTCTGAAGTGTGTGGCTCCAAACACCAAACAGATCATTGCAGCATCCCATAAACCCCTCTGTTTCAGCCCTGTTTCAAAAGTGCTGATTCTCTGTATGTTACTGTAGATGAAAATAAGGAGCCACTCCCCACGCCCCTCTGAGAGATATTTGGTTAAAAAGAACAAAATGGTGCTCTAGGGCATTTTTTTGTAGATGTTATTAATAACTGCATATCTATCAATCTATGTCTTTTGATGCCAATCTTTTAATATTTATATATTTGTTTTATTTATTAATATTTTATTTTATTTTATTGTTTTTAAATCATACGACCGCCCTTCAAGCCAATCAGAATCCAGCTGCCGCTACTGAGAGTGAAACTGAGTATCTGCTCAGCTTTTGGAGCAAGTGAGAGCTAGTGAATATTTCTGCAGCTGGATGAGAGCACGGATGTAGCAAATATTACAGTACAGTAATATTAACAATAAACATATTTATATTCATATATATAAATATATGAATATAAATATGTTTATTGTTAATATTACTGTTGAATATTATATATAAATAGCTTTCAAAAATGCAAAATATTTTTGTTAATTGTTCATATTACTCTTAAAAATTATATAATATTATAAAGACAGAAATCACTTTAAAAATGCTTTAAAATATGTTTACTGTTGATACTACTGTTTAATATTGTGTTAAGAATGTTTATAACAGAAGACACAATGAATGTGATGAATGACAAACAAAAGATAAATACAAAAATAATTAGAAGAATAACTGATTATTAATTATTAATACAAATATATATTAAAGAAAATGTATTAAGCTGTATAATTAATTTGTCATATTCTCCATCATAATGTACTCATCATTTAAAAAAAAAATGCAACAGGGGGGTCCCCGCCAGACGATAAGGCTATATGTGGGTCCTTGGCATGGCAAAGTTTGAGAACCCCTGGCCTAGGGGAAGATTCAGGTGATAAGGTGGGGGGGGGGTTACCTTTGTTGGTGATTGGCTAATGGTTATAAAAGACAAGAAAACGTTATGACATCAGCTCATTTTCAGACAGGTTTTTATATAAATGGATCAGGACAAAAAGAGAGCGAATATTTTTTCCTGAAACTTTCAGAGTCTCTTTACACAGATGGGACACATGTTGATGTATAAAAGACATGAAAAAGTGGATTTTGCATAATAGTTGACCTTTAAACCATTCTCCGGACATTAGTGAGTAAATTAGTTGGCCATGTTGTTTCTGCTAGGATTGTCCATCCAAACGGAGAGTGGAAACCTATTATGAGTCCAACATGTGTTATTTTGGATAAAGTGTAATGCTCTATAATACACAGCTATAATGTCTGTGACAATATACAATACCTCCGACGGCCATCAACATTTGTATGACTCAGCAAGAGTAGTGGGAGTGGCATCTGGAGTTGTATAGGCAGGGGAGTCAGTAGTTCTGAGGCAGTCTAGCTAGTGTTTTAATTTCTCTGGAAGATTTGCGAAATTTAGGCTGAGATGAGATGGATAGGGTTTGTTCGGTTGGTTCATGATAGTTTGAGAGTTACATTCACTTTATTAACTAAATTGGCTCTCTTCAGACACTACTATATATCTAATCACTAAAGGAAATCTATTTTCCATGTTTAAAGATTTAAGGACACATGTTTGATGATTTCATTTTGGAAAGAAAAACGTTGTCTTAGAAAATATATATATATATATATATAAATATTTTACATCAAATGCTGGATTTTTCTCTTTTTTTATAAAAGGAAGTCCTTCTTTTGTCTTTTCCAAGCTGTCCTCTCTTGATATTTTACTATGCTTTGTTTTCTCCAATTCTTTCTATTGTTGTTATCTAATCCCATCGCATTCTGACATCTGAAAGATATAAATATCATCTTCCTGCCAACCACTTTCAGTTCAAACTATTGGCTTTGGGGCAGAAAGTGCCTTCACAGTCCACAGTTGGTAAATCGCAATCTCCCGGAGGATTGTTTCCGGGTAAGTTGAGTGGATTTTGTAACTGAATATTTTAAGATGTGACGTAAGTAGGCACATTCTCTGGGGGTCCGAGTATTATTGCGTCAGTGTTGTGGCTTTGCTGACTATAAGTTCTAGGAAGTCTGTTTTATTGCATTCTAGCTAGACTATTGCTGGACTTATCTTCCCTGCAGAATTGTGTGGAAAAGTTCAATGAAGTTACTTTTTGAAGTGTTTTTTTGTAACTTTCTTCCAATATGTGGCTCTCTCCTCCCTGCTCTCCCTATTATTGTCTGCACACAAAGTCTTTCAAAAGAACATTATAAAAAACAATTTGCACAAAAAAAGAGAAGAACATTTAATGGAATTGAAAATCCCAGAGTCTTAAATTGGCTTTTGGCTTAAGTTTGCCGTTTAATTGTTATTTCACTCAAGTGAAGCCGGGTGTGTTTCAACATAATTACTGCTGCAATAAGCTACACTCTCTGTCCCCTGTCAATCACCCAACACCCACAGGACCAAAACAGAAAGTCTCTTTTAATGATAAAGAAAATAGCTTATACTGTCAAATTCCTCCATTATTTTCTTTAGGTTGTCTTATGATCCTGTCTAATTTCCACTAGTTCAAGTGAAGGCAATACAATCAGAAGCCAAACATTCATCCATACTTTTGAGAACGGGGGTTTACTTGCAAGGGGAAGAAAAAAATATCATCTGATTAAAAATATTTCATCTTACAAAAATGACTAAATTTTGTCTCGCTCTCCTCTGAATGCACCTGTTCCTTTGTTTGTGTACAGAACATTATTGCCCTTCTGAAATATCTATTGTGTCAGGACTGGCAACATGGCAGACTGCACAATAGACACCGACCAATCAGGGCTTTAAGACTTGCGTAGTGCACAGAGGTGATGGGTAGGCAGGTACAAGGGACCGATCTTTCTAGTTCCATCAGCAAAAACATTCTTCATCTTTTCATTTGACATTTTTATAATTATCTGGAGAACAAAACTCCTGCGTTGATTCATCTTCATGAAAAACTTGATAGAAGTTGGCAACCCAGGTGAGGGGCAAAAAAGGAATTCTGGCATCATGCTGCTTCGATTCTCTTCTACAATACACAAAAAACAAGAGTAGTTTTGATTACCAAAGCCACACATGTCTCTCAGGCTGTTGGTGTATTCTCTGGATCTTGCATTGAAGGGGAAAATGCCAAACATTTAACCATACTGCAGTAGGGATGGTTACATGAAAAGACGGATTGTGTTTAGGCATAATGTGTTTAAACAACTCTGAAATGTCCAAATGACCAATCAGAATTGAGTATTCAACTAAGCTGTGTAGTAATGTAGTTCAACCTATTTTCTAGTGAGTCAATTAGTCTTGCTTTCTGACCAAGTAGGATCCATTTGGTAGTTTGGCCGGAAAACATTTTAGTGTTTGAAAGGAGACTAACATGATAACCTCAATTAAGCTGAGTCACAGACACAATTTTCAACCTACAGCTTATGAAGACACATGCATTGTTGTTTTATAACCTACCAAGGCTCTCTGATGTCTTAAAAGTGAAATAAAGCAAGGCGGGAATTTAGATCCCCCTGTACACGGTGCTAATAATGCAGGGTAAATACACGACAAGGGACGTCTACATTGACTGTTACTCAACCCAATCTACTTTAAAGGTCTCCCAGCGCTCGAAAGCCCGGACCGATAAATAAAACCCGTGGCTCACTGAGCTAAACCCCTGTGGGCATGCTAATACACTCTGAACGGTTTAGCCAAGCGCCTCCATCAAGTGGGGAAGACCTGCTGTGACTCCTGGGGATGATGGGTAGAAATAGAAAGTAGAGATACAGGAGTGGGAGGGAGAGCAGGGAGTAACCACAGCCGAGCTCTGCAGCTCGATTTCACACCTTAATGAATATTGTCAAGAGGATTGGAATTCAAGACTTGCCAGTGCACAAGCTCCTTGAACGGCCTTACATTCGATACACAGCAGCGGCCGTAGTTGGAAACCCAGCTCTTTTGTATCTTGCCTCCATCCATCTTTTTGTACTGGATACAGGACTAGCTATAGCAGAAACCCATGGTGGATATCCTACTTTATACATTTACGATGCCTCTGTTCTCATTTGGTGGCATACACACTGGCAGCATCCATTGTAGAATACCCCGCTCATGTATTAATCTACCGCATTAGTACTGCAAATATTCCATTTTATTAAATGATGCAGTAAAAGCATATTAACCCTCCTGTCATGTTTATTAAATGATGCAGTAAAAGCATGTTAATCCTCCTGTCATGTTTGGGTGAAATCTGACCAATTTACTACTTTCATCAATCA